GATAGATAGATAGATAGATAGATAAACAGATGTAGGTGGGTGGCTGGGTGGATGGATTAGTTAATAATTCGTGAGGGTTCTCAAATAGTGTAAAGTATATTTAAAACCCTAAAGTAGCCTTTATTAAAATATTCCGATATTTACTGCATTTGGGACCAATATCATTTATTTATTTATTCATTCATTTATTTTCCAGTCGAGGCAGCCCTTGAATTATGGATGTAAAAGGTATTAAGTTCAGTCTTCAACAAACTAATCCTCTCAAACACCTGTAGGCTGTGTTTAAAAGAATAAACAACAACCTGTCTCTGAATGTAAATGAAACTCATTGAGAAGCACAAACAGTGCATTGTGAATGGTGTGACAAAAAGAGTGCAGCCCTCTCACGTGCAGGGTCCACTGGAGGAGTGCATGACGCCACGAGAGGCTTGCCTCGAATTTCAGCTGTCAGTGGATATACACCCCCTGACCCAAGAGAGGAAAAACACCCCTGACACGTGAGAGAGAAACACACCCATCCAGCTGTTGCTGCTGGTTTTGCAGGTTTTTTTCGTTTCTCTCCTTGTGCACAGTCTGATTGCATGTGTTTGCCTGAGTGGACATTTGTGCTTATTTGTTTTATTTGAGCTCAGGATTGAACTTTGAATCCATAATCATCCCAAGACAGTGCAAACAAAATGTGCAGCATTGAAAAGCCATACAAGGATAATATTGCAGTGCTGCAGCATGCTCTAACTTATTTCACTTTACTTGCAACACTACACTTTTGAAATCTGATCCTGTCAACAAACAGGGTCAATAGGCCTCAGCTCAAGATGCATGGTGGTATGATAAACCTGAATAAACTGCATCATGTTAGGAGCAGTACTCAACGTGCTCAGCTGTAAATAGAAACACAGACAGAGAGATAAACAGGCAGAGGCACAGAGGACGGCTGGGAGTCTGTATTTTCTCGTCCATCTGCCAACGCAAAGAGCCTGTGTCTCTTGACATAATTTGTGATACACATAGAAAGAAAAGGAATTGGCCCGTCTCTAGGCCACTGAGCAGAGCCATCCTTATATCTTTTATTTCCCTGTCCCCTTTTCGTTTACAAGGCCCACAAGTTATGACCGAGCTTTTCCCAAGTCCCCCCCAGCTGCAGTGCACATAAAAACACTTGATGAGCTACCAAGGCTGCTCTCATGAACAAATACTATGATTTATAGCTTGTAACGCAGAGGAAGAAGAAGAAAAGTACCACTGAAATGTATTCACTGAGGGTTGTTTACCATCCTTCACTAATTTCAATGTACCTTTTTCAATATATATATATATATATATATATATATAGACATAATTTCAAGCAGGGTTACTCCAGGTTACTCTCATTTGCTTACCTTTCACATGACCAGAGGCACTTTGTGGTATTAATTACCAAAGAGCAACAAACATGGCCAAACAATTAGTTCATATTAAATGACCTCTGTACATGTATTGGTAGAGAGCTCTGATTGGAGGAGAGCAGGGGGCGTCCATTGAATTAGTTCCTTTGTTATGGAATACTCATTCCTGTGATTGTCTGCTCTGAGTGATCATGTGGACTTAGGCTGTATTGAATGTGACAACAGAACAATACATATGGCCCACAGACTGATGTCACTGTGGCGGCGCTGCATGGACCTGAACTGGGCTGCATCCAAACCAGCCCCCTTTGAGCTACACCCACATCGGGCTGTTTACTGTGGGTGACGGTAAACAAGCATAACTGCAGAGCTTCCCAGCAAAAGTGTTTATACTTACAGAAGACTGTACATGTAAAACCAGTGTGGAAACAGAATCAGTCTAAATTCTTGGTTGTTTTACAAGATGTTTTGTTTTTCAGTGTCAGAGCCTCCTCACTGAGGATGCTGTAGTCGCTGCAGGCCACATATCTCATGGCCATAAGTGGGTTTCTGCAGGAGCATGCCTTTCAGCAGCAATGTAAGATCTATTAGTGTTTGTCTGTCTATTTTTGTTGTCCACATAATTTTAGAGTGGCCTTTGTGTCATCCCCCTCAAGTCACCTGTAATGTATTTAGTACAGGCTCACATTGCAAGTGTGGCCATTCCCAACTGTGTCTGCACCCTACTGCCAATTGGATTAGGATAAAGGAGAGGAGATGGCTACAGGGGGAGAACATGCACACATAGCAAATATAAGAGCAAATCACTGTGCTCCTGCTTACATATCTTCTTTAATGCAGAGCTGTGGATAGGCTCAAATAATTCACTATTAACAGTTCTGACCCCTCCTTCAGTGTTACGAGTCCCAAACCTGCCACATACATGACAGCGGGGGGTCGCTGGGATGGAAGCAGTGAAGTGTAGGGAGGAAATTGAAGTGAACTGGTGGGATTGCATGGGATGAGTTAGATCCACCAAGTATCAGCATGAGAGGCCCGTCATGTGCAAAACAACACAATTAAGAGGGACGCTTACCCTAATCACTGAATGCATCATGCAAATTATGTTTTTTTTTTCAATGCCTTCTTTAATCTTGGCCGTTATCGTGGAATACAAATCAGGGACTTAACTCTAATGAGAGGAGGAGAGAGTGGAAGGAGTGGGATGGGACGAAGGTGAAGAAGAGGAACAGCAGGAGATGGAGAGGCTGATGTGAAAAAGAAGGCGTTGGAGAAAGGTAGTGAGAAATAGCTGGTTGCATTTATCCCTTTAACAGTGTTTGGAGTTACAAGTCAAATACTTGTTAACGGAGAAACAAATCTTCATTAGAATAATAGTATTTACTTTCTACTTCTACTCAGCATTCATGTGTTTGCTCTGATTATAGCATGTCTGCATTATCTTTGCACTAATGATGCTTGATTTTAATAAATGAACCAAGACAAATGCAAATCAATACACAACATCACCACAGATGAGAGCCTCACAAAGTGCTGGGTCAATTTTCAATAAAGAGTTGATATAGGAAATGCAATATTTATTGGTGCAGAATCATAGATCTGTTGCTTCTATACCCCACTATAGGTACAAAAACAGTGTTTTCATTAATACATAATCAACAGACAAAATGGTTTAAGTTCATCTCTGTGCAAATGTGAAAAATTTGAAAAAAGACTCCATTTTGCAGTTGGTGAATATGGGTCTCCAAATTCAATATTTGACTTACACTCCAAATGGTGAAAAACTGCAAGTAAACCAAATTAAATAAGGCTATGAAATGAGACGTTCCATTCACTGAGGTTCCCTTGAGCAGTAATAACCTCTGGGAATATAAATATAGGAAATACCTATGAAAAAATATTTACCATGTAAAATAAGTAAAAGCAGTGTCTGTGCAATGTTCTTGATTATTTGTTGCTATTACATCAGAATATAGAGAGCATTATGAAATGAATTTTATAAAGTCACAGGCACCTGTGAGCAACTCAGATATGTTAATGACAAAGGTAAATTAATAGGTTTCATAAGGGAACGTTTTCTAAAATGCTACGATAGAGTGTTGACTGCATTGTATGCTCGAGCTGTCCTCACATTACTTCATGTGGAAAAGGTCTCAGCTCAGTAAATAAAGGGTTTCTTCAGTGGCCCCTGTTGATTGTGGGAGATAAGAGGCAGCTGGAAGTTTTCTACTAGCTCACTGGTTCAATATCGCCAGGGAACCCCCCCTCCCCCGAACCAAATCCCAGCCACCATTATGTTGAGATGTGTGCTAATGGTCCACAGTCTGCACTCTAAATAAACAGACCTTGACAATATCCTAACCCAGCAAGTTACAGAGGTGAAACCAAACTAGCTATAAACCCACAGTATCTTCTGTAACCACTTCACAGTTGTCCACGCTGTCAGTGCCAGATCTTGTTCAGTGGTGGGTCCCTTCATCAGGATCATTGAGTAATATTATAGGATTGGAAATGTTATTCTCTGCATACCTGCTCTGAAATCAGCTTCCCCTGGTTTATACAGTAATTTTTTCAATGTGGTCCACCCTCAGGGACAGTCTGTGTAAACAATAGCATGTGCATTGGCACACAAACACACAATAGGTAAATACCTGTAAAGTGGGGACCAAAGAGTAAAACATCCTGTTTACAGTGAACAGCATGATGTTAAAATGAAAAATCACTTTCTGACCATCTCCAATAGAAGCACACACATTGTACACACACAGCAGCCCTCCATCATTTCCCTTCAAATTTCACCAGTAAAAAAGAAAAGAATAAATCTCTGCCTCGCTGCGATTCAGCACAGCTTAATGCCCCTAAATTGCACCAATCATGGCTGTTCTAAATCTGTATGTCTATGAAAATGATTGTTGAAAACTGAGGAGCCTTCTGATGGACAGGCTGCGGAGGAAACATACTTTTTGCCAATAATTTGTGGTTACCAAGGGGACAAGAACAAAAGAGCGTCAGTGAAGCGCATTATCTTGTCATGCATGTGGCCCTAATGGCATGTGAGCGCTGTGGCTGGGGACAACTGAATATGAAACAGTTGGCACAAACACAACTTTAACACATTAACGGAGGATTTAAGTGTTGCAAATTCAGTTTAAGACAAGTGAGGCGCACAAAAGGAGACATGGAGAGTGTCAGTGAATGACTTTCATTAAATGTGGATGTAAAATGACGAACCGAGGAGTTGTATGTAATTTTTTGTATTGCAGAATCTTTTGTGTATTCTTCATGTTTGCTAACAGCCACATGTGCAGATGGAATAAAGAGACATTTATCACAGTTGTTTTCTATATTCAATTTATACAATATTCCAAACTTTGAGTTTTTATGGCAACTGAAGGCTACCACAGGTTGTCTGTCAAGGGGAGGGTGAGGTGAGGCGTATCCAGCTGCTACATGCAACGTCACCACTAGTTGTAACAAAATTCTACACACTGAACCTTTAAACAATTACAGCCACAGAGAGAAACTTAAACTATATAATAATCAAAATAGCAATAGCGATAGAAAAAATATATATATACCTACACACCAAATGAAAGTGAGATGACATTAATAATTATACTTGATGCTTCTGTGTGATTATTATGCATCTGTAAATATAATTTCTCACATTTTATGTCTCTGTGGTTATGGAACCACTTCACTTGTCATACTATAATTTAGTACCTGGCTCCATGTAGAGGCAGGTTGCGTCCTATTCCAGCAGCCCATGTTTTGATTGGGCTTTGGCTGTATTATTTACATAATCTAATTTATTCCAGAAAACATGTCAATAAGTTTCTTCCAACAACTCTAGAATTCTGAATTCAAATCGAGGATAAAGAAAAAAACTAAAGCAGTTGAAAAGGCCAAACTTTCATTAATCCAGCAGTGAATCATTCAGTAATTAGTTGCGCTCCCTGGTGGCCACAACAGGGTATTCTTCCATACTTGCACACGCACATACATATGAGGCCAGCTGTGACCTCAGAGGAAAGGAAGCACAGGGCACCAGTTAACAGAGTAGGAAGTAAATAGCTTCCACTGCTCGCATGGGACTATGTGCATGAGATAGAAATAATAACTAATAAAGGAAAGACAGAAAAAAGACAGAAAACATGCCTCATACATAGAGAGGTTTTAAGCACCATTAAAAAAACTTTTATTTTGGAATTATGTTAGAAAAAAGCAGCAGTGCAACAAACAAACATTTAGAAAAGTAAACATCTTAAATTAAGAACAGTATTCAGCATTAATGTGAGAAAGGTGGTATATAAATACAATCCATTTACCACTTAGACATAAAGTATTAAAATTAATTAAAAACAATTAATTAAGTTGCTTGTATTCTAGTTAAAATGCAAAAGCCACATCTTTGTAAAATGTGAGAAGAAATCATTGATCAAAAGCCTGTGGTTTTTATGAAATTATACCAGCTGGAGGGTTGTTGGCACACACTCAATACAAATAAAGAAAAAGAAGACAGGAGTAAAGCATCAATAAAGGTTTTTAGCAATAACATTGTCTCTTCAAATAAAATAAACCTGAACCCACCGTGTTCTTACATCCAAAATAACTAACGCTTCGGTTCCTTCCAAACACAATGTTGATCAAACCAGTTTGTGGAGTCACTTTGATTTTCTATCTTACTGTAATTCATATTTATACCGTCACCTACCAGGAGAACCTATAGGCAGGAAGATTCACTGCCTTCTCTAAGTATACTTCATCAAAATATTATTTCTACTTTGTCAAATTATTGTTTTTCACTTCAAGCTTTTTACTCAATAATTTTTCTGTTATTTATTTTATCTGTTTCTCCAAGGTCTCCAATTTTCTTCATTATTTTATCATTACATCAAACCGAAGTTCTTTGTGTGCCGGCTATGATTGTTCCCTGCTGTCTGTTGCTTGTTCTTGATTGTGAAGCACTTTGTAGTGGTTGTTTTGTGCTATATAAACTAAGTTTATTACTATTATGAAGAACAGAGTCTGCGTCAGCTCTTCCAGATGAATAATAGTCAGTCTCTTCTGTTGCTCATCCAATTCATTAGCCGTCACAGGCAGCACTCCAGTCCTGACAAAGTAGGCGTACATGTGGTGCACATTTCTCAGCAAATGCCCCAGTGTGTTTTGAAGTCGGGATAATGCAGCCGTCAGGTCTGTGTTTTTAATCCATCTGGAGGCAACAGGAGTTGAGGGAACTAGCTACCGTAGTTTGACTCCAGAACATCTCAGCAGCCAGGAAATGCCATCCAGTATCCCTGACAGGGATTCTGCCACCGTATCCTGCACCTGATCACCACAGAGAAACACAAGCACGGGGTTCAAATCCACTCATATTGACACAGGTTGGTTAAAAGGCCCGTTTTTCAAAGCAGACAATTTGACATATCATGAAAGGAAGAGCAAGTGTTACCGTTAACAGCCCCATTTTCCACTGGACAAAAAACCCAATAACACCCTGGTCAAAAGAATCATGTCTTTATCGGCTCCGGGTCCGTTTGGCCGTGATGGAAACGAGACACGCGGGTGAACACGCTAATTTAAAAAAAAATGTGTCTACTGAAGATGGGAAATGAGTCACAATCACCTTTTAGTGGGTTTACCTTCACATAACATCTCATTTTGGTAAAAAAAAAACAGAGGTTCAACTCAGTTCCAGAGTCTCAGGAAGACATGAGTATGTGACGGTGAGCAAGCATGAAAAATACAAGAACTCTGACTATCATTCACTTTAACCTGTTCTCTTCCTGTGTCTGCTGGAATAAAAGGCCCATAAATGAAATAGTTAGTAACAGTTACCATCCAGGGGTTGGCCACTTGATGTAGGCCGAGTCTTTTTGCCATCTCAACACAGGGAGTTCGACGCATGGCTGTGTTTCTGTGTGAACTGCTCTGCTGACTGGTAGCGCTAACAGCTTCCGGTTCTTCTCTGGAGACACAGGAGAGCACCAGCAAAGGCCTGGATGTGGAGCCCCTCGCTGGGCTCAGCACAGCCTGGATCTGAGCCACCTCGGACTGCCCCCCGTCTGTTAAAAACACGGTTGTTCACGCAAATGTCCCGCGCTCATGATTCAACAGCCAACATGCAGAAGACGCAAATATGAACACAGATCATCATCTCACCTCTTCCTGGCTCTGCGTTGGCGACATAGATGAAACCATCCACCACCTGCCACACTTGCTGGACCTGAGGGGCAGGGCTGTAGATGGGGGAACCTGACTCATCTGTTCCATCAATGATAAAAAGTTTATTATTGATGCTCCGCTGCTCCACTCTGGCTCGTTCCCTTTCTGCCCTGCAAACAAATACAGTTTTGTGACCATAAAGAAAACACAGCGACATGCAGAAAACTAGAAATAAAGCAACTCGTGGTAACGTAAGCTGCTGAGTTCTTACCTATTGGTTGAGTACAGAGTCAGGATATTAAATTTGTGTTGGTTGTTGAACATGTAACTGATCCCTGAGCCAATACCTGGGATAAATGAAGGTGGGTGGTTAGTTGCATACTCGGGGTGTCTTAGCTGATAGAACATATATAGGTAACAATCACGGGCCTATACTGCCACCTAACGGTAGGCAAATAAACCTACAACAAGCAAGATAAACAGATAACTGCACACTTTAATAGAAAGATGCATTATGGGTCACAAAAGAACCAGATCCAGGAACTTGGGGCATTTTTTGACGCTTTCATTGATTTCTCAGAGGATAATTAACGAATACAAATATTTAAATCAAGATCACGTCACTTTAAAGGTGGTTTCATTAGGGGACTTTTTATGGTTTGTCCACTTCCTTCAACATGGAGAGATTGGACATTAGCCTTGACGGGGGTGTGCATGTATAGCTTCAGTTCTACACTTTGAGTATGAAACAATCCAATTCCAGTGACAGCAGCGTTTATTTTAAGACAGAGGTTTATCACAGGTTTCTCACCGTTTATCTGTCTTTGAGGAGTGCCCGACACAGGAAGCACTTCTGGTGCATACATGAGCCGCGTGACTAAAGAAACATCCAGGTGTTCCATGCCGGGGCCAAACATGGCATAACGTGGCTCAGACGAGGGCACCAGAGACTGAAGAAATGAGGTCACACGCACATACGCTGGCCGTGAAGGAAGCCACTGCTGCCTGCAGGATGGGCAGCCCCTCAGGTATCTGTCACAGTCGAGAACAGACCACACTGTTACTACTGCTAATACAGGAGTTTCCAACTGACCTTGACAAAGCAGACAAAGACACCCACTCTGACATGAAGTCACATTTTGATTCCATCCCTTTGTCCTCTCCTTCAGCCAGGCTCTCGTCTTCACTGATTATCGGTGCATTCAACATCTCCAGCTGGGGCATTGTCAAATGATCAATGGAGGACCAGTGCGGCATGTCTCTGAGCAGGAAATACCTCCACAGTATTGGATCTCTAACCATGGCCCGCCAGTAGCGACTGGTGGCTCCCAGTCGGCAGATATCGGCAGGAGACAGAAGGGTCATGATGAGGAACTGCAGGTCCACCTTGACGGAGGACAGGATATTTTCATTACTATTGTTTCTTTAGCTTGTGATCCTTAACATGTGAGTCCTTACATTAATAAGCCTGGTGCTGTGTTTCATTGATTATGTGCTTATTAGACATTTTCATTTTCACTTCTCGCCTTGTCTGAACAGTCAACAGAAATATATACTTAGATGAAAAACAACAGAGAGAAGCGTCATGGAGAGAGAAGTGACAAGAGACAAAGAAAAAAAGGAAATGATAGCATTTTAATGTTTATGTGTTATCTTTATTGTTTTCAATGCCAAAGTTTACTGATGCTGTTTTCATGAAAAACAGTGCAGGAAATAAAGTTTATTTTCATCTCCGGGCTCATTCACCTCTGGTACAACTTAACCTTGATTCCATCTTGTTTATAAGTGTATAAATACTGGCAGATAATTAAATATTATATTATATAATCATTATATACAAATTATATATTTGTCTTGGATAACTTCTACTTTTTCGGGGAAAAAGGTATGAAAAAAAAGAACTCATCTGTAATTAAACTGTTAATGTCTCTTCTTAAACGTCACATCTAAAAATGTAAATGTAAAGAAATTCAACTGAATATTGTGTCAATATATTGAAAAGTGACAATTAAAAGATGTCAGACAGTAGAACTGTGCTCCAGAGTTAAATGTATGTTAATATGATTCTCACCTAAGTTACATTGTGTTGATTGTTCTGTGTTTCCCTGGCAGGTTTTACAATGATGTTTTCATGTGTCTCTTATTGACTTCTATATTATGTATCTGGTTAAGTAGGATTCTTTTTGTATGAATGTCTGAAATAGTTTTAAAAACAACAACAATGTAACCTTGATAGGCTTTAGATCATTTGAACTTTATACAAAGTAAAGAGAGGAACTTTACAAATGTCGAAGTCAGTCCCACCTTGACGGATGAGATGTGTATACAGACATTTATTTACGGATTGCTTGAAGTGTGATTTGTCTCACCGGTAAACTGTCCAACAGCCCCGGCTCTGTGTCTTCGTCCCCCGTGTCTCCAGCTGCTGTCATGTCTCGGTTCACTGCTCCTCGGCTGTTTGAGAAATAAGCGTCTCTGAAGCTCCTGAGGCTGCGGATCACCACAGACTCACTGAGCTGCTGCATCTTTCCGGCCATGTCGCCAAATGTGCGACGACATAGACACTAACTCGTAGCGAAGGGATCACACGACTTCATGTTTGACGTTTTCGTTTCCTCCTGACATGCTTCCTCGTTGCTGGCGGCAGTGCGGCATTGTGGGTACTGTAGTTCTATGAAAACCTGAACTTTGAGTAGTTGCAAAACAATTTATTTTCTTAAAACGGGCGTGTTTATTGTCAACGAGGACATAAAAAACAGAAAATGATTTTCGTCCAAACAACACAGAATGTCTACTTATAGTTATACTATCAAAGTTACTCAAGTGGCAGAAAAACAAAAACTTGCAATAGATGGGAATACAAGTGGTGCATTACAAAGCTGGTATGAACAAATCTGAACACACCTCAAATGGTCATGAATACGTCATTATTGTTTTTTAACACCTCTTGTTGACCTCTCGTGTGTTTTTATACACACATACATAGTTCATGTATATGCAATTATAATATATTAAAAGCATAACAAAATGGAAACAAAACAATAAATAAAATGTTACTGTGCAATGTCTCATCTCCAGCTGGATTATCTTTAAACTTGTAACAATCTTAAAAAAAGAAATCAAAAAAAGGTCAATTTTATTAATAACCTTTTTTTATATTAATATGATTATAACACATTCTTAGAGCAAAACAAGTGCCCCAGTCAACAGTCTGTGATCAGGATGATAACTGCTTTTTCAGCAGGACAGGGCAAAAAAAAAAATTCAACAGCCTCCTCTTCAGCACCTGCCACTTTTACACCACCGCTCTAAGACTTTCTAACCTCACATTCACCTGCTTTGGCCACGGGCCGTTTGGCATTTGATGAGGTTGCCAGTAGACACTGATCCAAAGACTCTCTTCACATACTCCTCGTGCCTCCCCTTAACCTTCCACAACATTACACCCCACCTGATGGGTTCAATTTTTATTTGGGGTCGACACACATTTGAATACTGAACTTAGATCTGTGCCTGAGGGCAACGTCAACACAGGAGCAGCGTTGTTCACTGTAGAATACTAAGAATTTCCTTGGCATTCTCCGTGTTCCAACCTTGGCCTTGCAGAGGTCCCTCGCAGGCAAGCACATATTTGTTGAGGATCTGAGTGCCAATGTCCCGAAACTGCAGGCGATCTTCTTTCCGATCCATGGTGTCAGCGCTGCAGTCCTCATACTTGACGGCCCAGAAACACATTTCCCCGATGTACATCATTGTCAGCAGGTGTGTATCTGAGAAGATGCCTGGCCAGAAATATAAGCAAGCAGCGAGTTTGATCACATGGAGAGCAGCAAGAACATTTCTGTTAAGTGACGATAAGTGACGACATATTTACCTTCAGATAGGAAGCCTGCAGTAGCAGTGTCATGGAGCACCACCCCATCATTGATCTTCACAGAGTTTCTCACCTGCAGCATCCGCATCAGGTAGCGCACACCTTCCTGAATACACTGGATTTAAACATTCAGTCAGATGAAAATTACACTTAATATCAGTATATCAGCACAAAACAAAACCAAAAAAACAACAACTATATTTTGTCAGACCAGCCCACACCTGTAAGTATGATCACAACTAAGTGAATCTACATAAATCTTTTCAGAGTGTAGTACCTTTAGGAATGTATCCTTGTTTTTCTTGATCCACTGTTTTCGTTGATGAAGGGTGTGGCAGTACATGTACAGCAGAGCTCCACGTCTCCAATAGAGGCATTCTAACAGCTCCAGACCCAACACAGACTGCACCTGTCACAGACCACAGGCATGAATAGTGCTGTCACACAATGACATAGAAGCATCAAAATGTGTTTGACGACACTCTAAACCAAAGAGAAAATAAAGTGGAACAAACATATTACAGGAAATACTTTAACCACAAAAGAAAATAATCAGACAGGGTCTGATACATTTTAAGTCGGGCTAATATTGTTTAAATTTCTTTTATACCCTTCTACATAGTTTTCCCCAGATAATGAACTATACAGTTAAATGCATTGTGATGTTACTATCCTGATTTCCTGTCAAGCACTTTATTGATCACATGACACAGTCACATCACCAACCAAGTTGTTTAGAGAGACACAAATGCATACCTCCTGTGCTGGTGCTAACCTCCCAGCCAAAACCTCTGGCTCGGTCAGATCTTGCAGCAACTGCTGGATTTTAAATGGTGAACAGTCTTCAGGGAACTCCTGGTCCACCAGTTTATTCTCTTCATAAAATGTGATGTCTAGAATCACCTAGATGATGAAAAACAAATATATTACAACAGCAAAGAAAGGTGGTCATTTCCCTCTGATGTCACAGCCAGAGTGGGAAGCTCTAATGCTGTTGTCAAAATGATTATGAGATACTATTGTGTTGCAATATGCAAGTTGTATAAACATGTGGATTCTGGCACATTGTTATCATTTCACTGATTTAGAGTTGATCAGCAACTGGTAAAACAAACAGGAGATTAATTTGAAAAAAATTATTATAAAATATGTTTGATAACCCATTAGCTACTATTAGACGACAGCTAATGTAAACATTCAATCACTTCCTAGCAAACGTTGCCTTTTGGTACTGTTACATGATATGAAAAAGACTTTTAATTGTCAATTGGACAGCTATTTAACCCTGGAGGTAATATTTTTTTAGACTAAAATAATCTGTTTAGATGTCAGAAATCACTACCTTCCACTTCTCAATAAATGACTTCATTAAAAAGGGGGATCAAATCAGGGATGATACATAAAATATCTGCCAGATAGTGGTAGCCACATGTGTTGCCTCTTCTCCAAACCTCTTATTACAGATCTCAAAAAGAAACTGGTAAACAGTGATGCATTAATATAAAACCTTTAACTCATTATGGGTTTATGCTACTTTACATAACAAAGATCGCCAAAAAACAATATGTAACTAACAACTAACTCCATCACAACTTTGATTCTCCCTGATCTAAAAAGCCCTTTGGACCTGGCAGCTGTTAAGTTTTCGATTAAAGCTTTAGGGTTTTTTCTTTCACAACATGGGCATAAAGTTCACTCCCACATTTATAAAGCCATGGTATTAGTATCCAAAAGAAATATCAACACCAATGGTAGATGCACTGTATATGATTTTGAATTCCAAAGTGAGGAACCTCTCCGTGTCTGATCTTTATAGGAGGATAGAAATATAAATTACTCAAAAGAAATATAACAATTCACATTTGCTCAAGTCATGAAATGCCAATCATTTGCTGGATTTGCCTGAACACATTTCAGGATACTTTCCCCTGTTTTCTGTAATCAATCATGACTAAATACATTTGTGTATTCCCACTCTTCGTCAGATGCACTATGGAGTTTCAATCACCCTGTGTGCAGGGAAATTAAAATGACAATCACAATCTTCTGATATATTATAATCTAAATAGTTACTTGAACATGGCTCTGGACAGTTCATGCAGTTTGAGGTACCTGTGTGTAATCCTGAAGCAGCTTGGACAGGTTGCTACTCTCCCCTCCTTGTCTGTAATAGCTTTTCAACTTGTCTAGTATGGCAGACGCATTCTGTAAATAGTCGTCATCTGTGGAAGAACGACATGTTAATAAATATAAATATAAACAGAAGAAATCTAGTGTGCTGTGTGTGATCGATATCTTTTATAAATGTATACGCTACAAATTTAATTTAAACATGGTTTGATGCTTGTAAAACGGAAAATGCAACGTGACAGTGTAGTGAAAATCCTGGCACAACATGTGGACTAAAGGCACATACATCTGCACACAAAGGTTCATTTAGCAGAGACACTAGCGATGTTGTATCAATGGGATCTCAGCTCTGGTTCATTTAGCTTTGGGCAGCATCGTGCGTGGTCAGCTACACGTTTGTCAACAATGATGCATTTTAGCTAACATTAGCGAACTTGCGCTAGCGGTTAACTCGTGAACACGTATAACCAGAAATATAAGCACCAGTCAGAGAGTACACGTAACGAAACACAACTAAGTGAACACCTGACCACCTGGGAGGTAACTGTTGGTTTAAGTACATGAGTCAACGTGCAGCATTTCATCAGACAGCAGCTGTTGTTGTTATGGTTGCAAGCTACGTTAGGTAACGTTAGCTAGCCTGCTAGTTGGCTAATAAACAGGAACGGACGGCTGGACTCGCAGACAGCGGCGGTGAGGGCGGAAATAACAACAACAGGTCGGTACCTTGCTTCTCGGCTCTGAGACTCGAACACTTGACGTCCAACTCGAATATCCTTCTCTCCAACTCGAAACCTTGTCGCCTGTAGTCGTCGGCCATGACTAAAACTATGAGTCACGTGAGCGGCGGGAGGAGGAGGGGGGTGGGGTTACTCACGTGCTCTCGCATGTCACCGCCGCCCGTTTCCAGGGCAGCGGCGCGGGGTTCGAACGTGAGCGTGCACGCGCCCGGTGCAGCGATAAAAACCGTGAAATCGTCCGCGTCTCGTCTTTGCTCATCGCCGAGATTAGAATGGCAGCCCACGCTCGGAGGTGGAAGTCACGTTAGCATGTGCTAGCTCGTCGTTAGCACCGCTGCTGACGTTCTGACTTTTGACGCTCTTGTTCTCCGCTAACCCCCCCCCCCTTCATCATCATCATCCTCCTCCTCCTCTTCATCCTCCTCAGTGTGAATCTCCCAAACATGGCGGCCCTCAGAGCTGTGTGCAGAGCGGAGCGTCTATTCCTCAGAAACATCTCAGGTCCCCGCAGAACCGAATACAACGACCACCCGGGGAGCAAGGTCAGTATTCACATGGCGACGAGCTGCAGAAAAACAAACCAAGTGAAAGGAGGTTAATGCAAACGTCTGGAGGAAACATTAAAAAGGTCATGATGTTAACTTGAGGTTTTATTCTCTCCGCTCTTCAGGATTTAAGGATCAAGTGAACCCTGGCGGCTAGTTCAACAGTCTCCACGTTTTCTTTCAGTTTGACCGAAGTTAACTTTTCGATGATGTGGTGAACTGACCTCTAGCTCATTATGTCCCTGCGCGTCCTTTAAACACGCAGCGACACATCCCGCAGCACAGTTACACAAGTCCAAGATACGCACAGTGTTTTCATTTGAGCAGCGACTGAACTCACATGTGGATTATTAGTCGAACAAGCTGCGATATAGTGAGTGCGTCCATTGACTGTGTGTGTGTGTGTGTGTGTGTGTGTGTGTGTGTGTGTGTGTGTGTGTGTGTGTGTGTGTGTGTGTCCGCCCGCCCGTCACTGTTTCTCTCAGTTCAGATTAGATTCACTTTATTGTCATTCAGAAATCAGCAATTAAATACATATGACGTATAACAGTATATACAGAAGTGCAATGGGAAGGTTAAATAAGGGGAAGATAATGGGGAAGTGAGAGATGTGCAGAGGAAGTGATTACAAATACACTGTGTTCATATGTACAGCCAATTATTCTAAGACCAGTAATACCATTCTATAACAGGAGTGCATTACTGACAGCATTGGCTAGTTTTGATTTGGTTTGTCATTATTTCGAGAATGTTTCTCATGATAAAGTGGTCATCACTGCATTACATAATAGGCAATATAATGGTCATGGTTTTGATAATACACTAGAGAATGTTTTTGAAATGATTTGAGCACCACAGGTACCGTTTTCAATGATTTCTATTTTTGAGAGCTGCGCTAACTCTGGGACCGTGCTCTTGGCTGTGGGTTGCCCTACATCTCCGCTCCTTTTGTTTGAGGATTTGCGCTGCTTATCTTTCCCTTCTTCAGCTGAATAAACTAGATAAACCACTTAAGCTGGGTATATTGGCTGCCCTCACATGGAACTTTTTCTTTTAACTCGCATTTTTGAGCACTAAACCGATCCACTTTTATGCAGAACCACTTGCAGCATGTTAATGTTGTTGGAACTCTTTTTAGGAAAATAATTGAACACATTTTATGTTTTACACACATCTTGTTCTGCTTTCTACAGACCTGTGGCTGTTACTTTTCCACCTCCAGCCAGAGAAATTCAGAGTTCTACTCGGACCCTGCAGATGCAGTAAAAGATATCCCCAGTGGAGCTACAATCCTGGTGGGAGGTAAGATGTACTGTAAAGTGACTAACTTAAAGTGTTGTGAACTGAACATTTAATAACCAAGTGAGCTTGAACTCCCTGGCATGCTGTTTGATTACAGTCCACAAACGCAGCCAACACATATTCCACAGCTCTTATTTATAGTCAAGTTCACAGTGACATTGTTAAACATATTTTCCATTGTGCCACACGTGAGGGGTAAAAAAAAAAAAAAAAAAAAAACAGATAAGCAGAAATCAGCCTCATTGTAATGTTAGAAATGTAAACATTAACACCCAGGAGTCGAATTACAATGGTTCACCATTCTTTAAGAGCCATATTCAATTACTGACCACAAATCACACTAACCTCTCTAAAATGACAGGTTTCTCTTTGGCGGGGCATCTGTTGTCAGATGGAAGTGATGTGTTACTTGCAGATGGTTTTTCAGGTTCAGGTCTGTGTTGAGCCGTCCTGAGTCTTTGTAAGCGTCTGTTCTTAAGTCTGAGCTTTTCAATGCTTGTGAGCTCAATGATTTGTGTTGTGGGTTTCCAGGCACAACAACTTGTTCCACATTAAACCATTTGTTTGATTAATAACTTTATTACCTTTGGTTTGTATATCACATCGTGGAACTTGTCACCAAATGCCTGCATTAGTTTTGCACACTCGCTATCATATTCAAATGTCACTTTAGGCTTTTGTTCTTGCAGAGTTGGAAACTTTTCAGTGTTTGCACACAATGCAAAACTTTTCTGGTTCCAGCAGCTCCACGGCAGGCACTCTTTCACAAATTGTTTCAACTTTTTTTTTTATTATTCATCACTTTGTTTTCTGTGCTTCAACTCAGGTTTTGGATTATGTGGCATCCCAGAGAATCTTATCAACAGTTTACTGAAGACTGGTGTGAGAGGTCTCACTGCAGTCAGCAACAATGCAGGGTGAGTGTGTATGTGTATACATGTATACAAATGCCGGTGCTTACAACTTTTTCTGTAATAATTGTGTTTATAGAGGTGAGTTTGGATTCACAACTGAATCACTGGTGACAGTGTTAACCCATCTTGAATATTCTAGGAGCTAGATTGATCACTAATTTTGTAGACATGAAAGAGATTTTTCATTTCTAGGAAAAGTAAAATAAGTATGTACTTTCAGGGTATAATTACTCTTACTCAAATCTGAGGGGTATTGTTGAACTTGTTGCATATCTTCAAATAAGCTAGTTAAGTTGGAGTGATGCCAGAGATCAGAGCTGCAGGCACAGGCAGAAGGTGTGATGAATGGCCAGGTGATCATTTGTGATGCTGGTAGAGTCTCACTTTCACAGGTTTACCATTTGGCACATGACTGTCAGCTGCTACTGACCATAATCCTCTTTATTATGTGCCCTGTCTTTTCATTGCAAACTTACATTTGTAGTATCTGAAACTAGAGGACTCTGGAATCAAATGCAAGACACAACTGAAGCTTAAACAGGGTGGCTCGGTGGTACAGTGGCACAGCCTCTTCTGTGTGGAGTTTGCAAGTTCTCCCCTGTGTTCTCCCTTTTGTCTGTTAGTTTTCTCTGGGTTCTGTTGCTTCCTGTCACAGTACAAGGACAAGCAGGTTAGGTTAATAGGTGACTCTAAATTCCCTCTGGGTGTGAATGTGAATGGTTGTTTGTATTCATATGTCAGCCCTGTGATAGGCTGGTGACCTGTCTGGGGTGCCCGCCTCTTGCCCAAGCTCAGCTGGGAGCGAGTAGCTGTGTAGCTAACCATTGAGTGGCTGACCTTATACTCTGACAACTGGAGCGTTTCACTACAATCCTCCTGGAAAGATTGTTAATGTTTCCTTGCTCACTTGGAAACAGTTTTTTTTAAGTGTCATGTTTTCTTCCATGATTAAAACTCAATGTGCTGCCACTCAGTAATCACTTCCTTGGTTGTTGACACAGCAAGACTGAAACTTGAGCAGTAACTTAAACCTAACCGCATCGACTGAGATATAAATGATGATGGTGGCTATTTTGAGTAACTTTTAGAAACTGAACACTACAACTACATTTTTACTGAGGCCACTAGGGATCCACCTTAGATAGAGTTGAGACTCAACTTTGAAAAGGACAAGCGCTCTCTCTGTGCCACTACATTAATACATTTCTCTGTGTCAGTGGTTGTTATAGCCTTTAAAAACTCAGGCTTGTGAAGTGAGTTAGTGCCTCACTACACTTTTTTGTGGACTTTGATATTTGGTGGATATCGATTTGTGGAAGAGCTACTCGGATTGTTTGCTTGAGTCAGGCGTTCCCCCAGACCAATCATCTCTCTCCTAAATGTTTTCTTTCTGCAGACAGTATTTTTTGGGGAATACTGTAACCACTTGAAAGTACTGGCCATATTGTCTCTTCTGTGTAGTTTCTGAGCAAATTGTTTCTGAGGAACATTCAGGCGAGGGGTGGCCCATGGGTAAAGTGTCCTGGAGGCAGGATGACAATACTGCTGTGGAAAACACGTGTTTCGAAAGTCAACCGGTTTAACATTAAATACAACTTAACAAATATGTTCAGTTCCATTTATTTACTTTTCATGCCCTGAAACTTCTTGCCAAAGGCCTGGAGGAATTTTTACAAACTACTAGTTGAGAGGTTTGAAAAATTGGTTTAATTTGAATGAAAATATCCTAAAAATATAGTTTTTGTGTATTTATTAGCAATCACTGACAACACACAAAAGGAGATTATTTAGTTGTGAAAGAACCCTGTGTAGCTCAATGCTTACTGTTCAATCAGCAGCTTCAGGCATTTTACACAAATAGAATAGATTCTATAAAGGCAGTGGCATTTATGTTCAAGATAACTGCTGTAAATCTCTCTGATCCATGAACTTTTAGCATTTGGTTTGAAAAGGTCATTTCTCATTGTACATTGAAGTTCACCATAGTCTGTCCACTTGATCTTATTTTAAATTTGACATAGCTTTAGCCCAGAGGCACACAAACTGCACATACTCAGAGTTTTATCACATTCATCTGTTTTTGGTGTTATGAACAAACATGGCCTAGATAGTGTTGTCAGCTGACCTGAGATTAGAGATGAAGACAAAACAGTTACTGATTCTCAGCTTCTTGGGTTTCTTTTTTTTTGCATGTCATTGAGCTGATTCTTTTGTCCAAAGTGACTTTCAGAAATGAGGTGATTAAACTGTGTTGTATTAGACAGGGCAGGAAATGCCACATGAAATGTTTGCTATAATACTACTTTTATATTGTTTCACAAGACAGGACCCAGTTTAAAGCAACTTTATGTGTTTTATGAAGACTATTCTTTCATAGTTTATTGACAAAGCGATGGTCACAAATGACCATGGTCCGAGTGGTTACTCCAGGCTATACAGTTATGAGTTTTAACTACAGATGTAAATAGCTTATAGTAAGCCTTTAAGATCAAACAGGAGCCATCTGATTTGGTTTGCATTGTTAAAACCTTCAATAACCTTTTTGCAGAGTTGTAGTAATAGTCACAGTCAAAGAGCAGGGACAATTGAAACTTGACAAGCTGTAGAGGGAATATAAAAAATCTTTTTATATTTTTCAACAACACTGAATCAAAGTCACGGACATTTCTCTACAAATGTTCAGTTATGAAACCCCAAATAATAGATTTTATAAGTATTTGCACCCTTTGAGATGGTTCGTGAGCAGACTCGAGTTTGTGCGTCAGCTTTACAAATCTAAAAACTACAACTGCTCCAGGTCTGTCAAGGTACATGGAGAAGAGGCGTGAAGAACCGAGCCTACATAATATTAGTATATACATTCACCTTGCATAATCTAAATTGATAAGATTTATTGTCATTTTCTTATTAACCTTTTAGTGAATCATGTCCTAAGTAAATAATGAAAATTCTAGTATGAATCCACACTTTTCTGTCTTGGTTATTATAATATATAATAAAACTATACTATAGCCTCTGATATTGTGTAAATGTTTTCATCAGAGTGGATAACTTTGGGCTGGGCCTGCTGCTCAAGACGAAGCAGATAAAGAGGATGATCTCCTCATATGTTGGAGAGAATGCAGAGTTTGAGCGACAGTATCTGTCGGGGGAGTTGGAAGTGGAACTGACACCACAGGTTGGTTCAAACACACAAAGGCTTATACGTGAATTTTGCATATGGAATAATGGTACATGTCATGAAAAGACATCTACAAGTCATGTAACATTCCAACATTCAACATCGTACTTGTTTGAATTGATGAATTGTTATTCATCTGTTTTACTCATCTCTTGATGTGTCACCCTTTTTCTTCAAAGGGCACCCTTGCAGAGAGGATCAGGGCTGGTGGTGCTGGAATTCCAGCTTTCTTCACCGCCACAGGCTACGGCACACTGATCCAAGAGGGAGGCTCTCCCATCAAGTACAACAAAGATGGCAGCATTGCCATCGCCAGTGAGAAAAGAGAGGTGACAGTGTGTTTACTTGGGATGACTATTGATGTTTTCTCAAACCTTTTGACAACTTTCTCTGTTATTTTGTTTTATGCTTTTAGAGTCAAGCAGAGATGTACTAAATACATAAAGTGGACTTGGATCCACCTCATAAAAAATGCCGTTTTCTTCTTGGTTGTGAGCTCAGTTGATGCCTTTTGTTTGTTCTCAGCAGAAGGAAAGTCAACTTTTTTTCTCTTGTAGAAGAATTATTTATCAGTATAAAAACACACAAACAGCAGAACTAGTCAGTGCAAAGATGTCACGTTTGTATTATGAACGTATGTATTCAGAGCACAGCACGAAACTCGTGTTTGGAGAAAACGTGCATTTTTACCCCTACCAAGGAGGTTGTGTTCATTTGTTTGTTTGTTTGTTTGTTGGTTGATTTGTTTGTCAACAGGATTATGAAAAAATTAGGATGGAACATGGGTGAGGAAAGAACCCATTACACTTTGGTGGGGATCCAGAATTGTTTTATTTATTTCTTAAAGCTTGCGTGTGTTTTTTATTCAGGAATTTTCTTTGCAATTTGGTTCAGATCCAAATAAAAATGTTGATCTAGTGGATTTAAATGTGGTAGGTAGGTTTCTTGCAGCTTCTGTACGGAAACAAATAAGACTAGAAACCTGTAACTTCCATAGCTGAGAAACATAATTTGGACTTATCTATTAGGCTTGATTGAATTTAAGGGGAATGTTGGGCCTTGGTTATATGAGTCAAAGTTGTTTGACTGGTTGCACTCCAGCATTGCAGCAAGCTCACAGTAATGTATTTGAATAATGAGAGCAACATATGATGTTCTAAATGGTTTTAAAATATTGCTTTACACAGTTAAACATATTTTGCTATAAGAACATGTCATGGGTCATGTCACCATGTTCAGCCCTGACTTTTTCCAGTGTCTCTTATCTCTCGAACTGTGTTGTCATTGTGCACAGGTCCAGGAGTTCAACAACAGGCACTACATCATGGAAAAGGCCATCACCGGAGACTTTGCATTGATCAAGGCATGGAAGGCCGACAGGGCTGGAAACATTGTTTTCAGGTGACTGTTGGGATCTTAATATGGCTCATGTGATTTCATCTGAATGCACATGTTGTGTTTTGGCAATGACATTGTCTATCTTGTAAAGGATTCAGATTCCAAACTTAATCACCTTGATTGTGTTTGTTCACCACTCTGCTGTTGGTGGGCTTGAGTAATGGAAATGAGCTGCAGTAAAGAATCTCTCCACAAGAGAGCAGTGCTCTCTAGTAAATGCTGGCTTATACTGCCTGACTTTTAGAAATAGGATATCACATCGAGAGTGTTTGAATTCCTTTGGTTGAAATACTTCTGTATCTCATACTTGTCCTGATATCATATCTTCCTCCTCTGTCAGAAAAACAGCCAGAAACTTCAACCAGCCCATGTGCAAGGCAGCCAAAACCACAATAGTAGAGGTAAGCAACACAACCCAATCAGATGCTTTTAATGTCTGTCTGGAACACGTCTTCTCTCACACAAAGTGCTACTCTAGATGCACTGTATGTATGAATGTGTGTGAATGGCAAAATGTAGTGTAAAGCGCTTTGAGTGGTCTTCAAGACTAGAAAAGCGCTATATAAATACAACCATTTACCATTTACACATCTAACAGTACAGTCACCATCTTAAAGCCTTCAGCTTTCCTTTTAATGGTTTACATGCATTATTCAGACTTTCATTTTTCTAGGATTTTAGCTTTTCTTGTGCCCAAATAGCTGTGACCTTGAGTCAAAATTGTAAATGTTATAAAAATCGACACTCAAATACAGCAACAACAGACCTATAAGAACACATGTATTGTGATATAAATATGTTTTAAGAAATCCCTATGTTCTAGTGCCTATGGGAACCCAACTGGTATGATTGTATCAGCCAAGCTACAGCTACAGATAACCTTTGGAAAGGAAACATTTCACTGATTTTTAACTTTAGCCCACAGAACCAAACAGCCATTTGAGATTTGAGCCCTGGCACAGAAATACAGTTTTCCAGCTATACATTGTAAAGCCGGTGGAGCAACCATACATTCAAGTAGATCCTATCTCTCCACTATCAATGGGTACTGTCAGGAAAAACTATCTATTCAGATTTTTAGCACTGTAGATGGGAACCATAAATGTGAGGCGGGCCTCTTACAGGTGAAAGGCCAGGAGTGGTCAGGCTGTGGGCTGAAAAGATAACATTGAATTGAGAATCGTATTAATTCCTCTGACTATGTCTCTCGGACATGAGGTACTATTTATAGACTTGCAGTTTTAGGATCTAACCTCCATCTGTATTGCCCAAAAATGGATTGGGCCTGTCCTGCCATCTCTGTGTTATATGCACTTTTCATCTGTCTGTCTGGATACCCGCCTATCTAGCATTTGACAGTACAGAAATATGATAGCTCATCTTCTCTGTGTGTGTGTGTGTGTGTGTGTGTGTGTGTG